CAAAATGCTCAGCCTCCTTCCCTCAGCTCTCTGTTCACTGCTGCCTCAACATTCAACAACTTCTGGGTGCAGGGAACTTGTTATGCTGGCCTCTCCTCTTTATGCTTTTCTGTGTAGTGCAGCTTGAAAAATATATTGCATCACATGCAGGGGTGAAAGTAACTTAAAGGATTTACTAGTATGCTGGAGTCCTGACCACAGACTGGAAGAGGTGTGGCCTCTAAATCAAGATTTAAAGGCCCCGGGGCTCCAACTGGGAGCCCTGGGGCCTATAAATCACCCTGGGACCCACCAGCTGCAGGGGTGGCTGGGAGCCCCTGAGGCTTGGGGCGATTTAAAGGGCCTGGGGCTCCAGCCACCTCTACAGCAGTGGAGCTCCAGGCCCTTTAAATCGCTGATGGAGCCCTGCTGCCACTACCCCGGGGCTCGGGCAGCAGGGCTTAGGCAGCACTTTAAAGGGCCCAGGGCTTCCCACAGCAGCTGGAGCCCCTGGCTCTTTAAATCATTGCTGGAGCCTTGCCGCCGCTACCTCCAGGGCTCCGGCAGCCGGGCTCAGGTGGTGTTTTAAAGGGCCCAGGGCTCCCCACAGCAGCAGGCGCCCTGGGCCCTTTAAAGTGCCGCCTGAGCCTCACTGCCGGAGCCCCGGGGTAGCAGCGGCAGGGCTCTGGCGGTGATTTAAAGGTCCCGGGGCTCCCCGCAGTGGTTGGAGCACTGGGCCCTTTAAATCACTGCCGGAGCCCTGCCGCCACTACCCCGGGATTCGGGAGGCGATTTAAAGGGCCGGGGCTCTGGCCGCTGTAGGGAGTCCCGGACCCTTTAACTCACCAGCCTGGGGAAGCTGGTCCAGACAGTACTGGCTTACTTTCTCCTCTGATCACATGGTTTCTCCGGGTCTGCTGCTTTGCAAACTTGGTGTTGCTCCGCGGTAGGTATTTCAGATCTAGGGCTTGTCTACACTGGCAATTTAGAGCGCTGCAACTTTCTCGCTTGGGGGTGTGAAAAAACATCCCCCCTGACTGCAGCAAGTTTCAGCACTGTAAAGTGCCAGTATAGACAGTGTACCAGCGCTGGGAGCCACACCCCTCGTGGAGGTGGGTTTTTTTTATAGTGCTGGGACAGCGGCGCTTTAGCATTGCCAGTGTAGACTATCCCTAAATCTTTGCTGTTGAGAAAAGTGGGATGCAATAGTGAACCAAGACAAGTTCTGAGTGATTTAAATGTGCAATGTACAGTTTTTTCTGATAGAACACCAAAAAGGCAGAACAATCAGTTGAAGTTGACTGTGGGAGTAATTTGCCTTCTACAGTTAGTTTAGAGTAGCGCTCCCCCTTCTCTCCAAAAAGAGATCTAATCTAGTTGGGAAGCTCATGTTTCTAATTACAGCAGAGCTGTCTTTAGAGACGTGTCAGTGCAACAAAGAGATAGCAGACGTTTAAGGAAGAGGGAATGCCTATACAATGCTGCACTGTGATAAATAATTTGATATTTTGTAATATCTATGTAGGGTAAACTATTAATTTGTACATGCAAACTGGGTGCAATGTCCTAGTGATTTAAGGGTTCTCTTTTGTTTAAAGATATCCAATACAAGAAATAATAATAATTTATAATATGGGATTATACTGTGACTTTACTGGCATCCCTAAGTATTATTATTAGTGTTGTTTGTTATTTGTATTACTGTAGTGCCTAGGAGCCTACTCATGGGCCAGAACCCCATTGTGCTAGGCTCTGTACAAACACAGAACCAAGAGATAGTCTGTACTACACAGACGTTACAATCTAAGTATAAAACAAGAGACAACCGATGGATACAGACAGCCTGGGAAATACAAGGCAGTGTTTGTTAGCATAAGAGGCGGTGGTCTCAGCACACCAGCAGCCTAGCTGTTGTCAAGTTTTTTTTTTTTATGTAGCCATAAGAAGCAGCACAGGGAAGGGATTAAGGGACACTCTCTTCCCTGGTTCTGCTTTGTTCCAAGGGAAAAAGTAATCGTCTATTAATCCAC